CTAGATAATTTTGTCAGAACAACCCACTTGCAAGACAATATTACCTAAATTCATTAGTATGGATAATAACTTAACAGCTATAATAATCATATATTATATGGATGGATCAGATCAATGGCACACAATATGTACAAAAGTCAAAACTAAACTGGTGATACGTATACCTTCTACTCAAACTGATATTCTCCCACAACACAAATGGTTTTTGTGTGGATATGATGTGTTAAACCGAACAGTGTGGTATATCATTAACTGTGCACAGGATTGGAATTGAATTATATACTTCACTCATGACCTTCAAAACATTCTCTATACTATTCAGTGGTGTTTGATATATAATTGACTCTTTGCTACAGTGATGCATGTTCCTCGAATAGTTTGTGTATGTTACTCAACAGTTAATGTTGGCAAGTGTAAACAACAAGTGACAGAACTTCTGCTTCATATGATTACAATAAAGTTTTGAAAATGGGTATGGATTCACAAGTGACAGTTTACTAAATAGACACTTTGAATATTGTTTGCATGAGATTTTTATTTTTTGACCGCATAATTATCCGAGTTACAATGGGTCGTTCCAGAAAAAACCTGTACTCCCCCCACAGAGGAAATTTCTGCCATCCGGAGGGGGAGGGGTGAAAAAATTGTTTATGATAATAGTAAATGTATTAGGACATGCGAAGGGAGTAGGGGGGGTTAACTTCCTATTTCCTCTGTGGGGGTGGTATGGATGTTTTCTGGAATGACCCAATCGCAATCACATAAAATTAGTTAAATTTAATCCGCAGGGGTTGGGGGAGTTGCCCCTGCTGCCCTCCGTGCTGTCACAGAATAAGAAGGTACTGCAGAAGTGTAACTCAAGTCGGTTCCATTATTGTTTTACGTTCACAAAAATTTTAACTCGCTCGCACCATCCTGGCTAGTACAACCGGAAGTTTTTGTCAGGTTTTGGTAGATGCCAAGTGTCGGTTGTACTAGCCAGGATGGTGTGATTGATGACGAATCACTTGAAAAAATGCGGACAAATACTTGCTTGAGTTACACTTCTGCTGTACCTTCTTATTCTGTGGTGCTGTCTACAGCCTTGTTAGATTTGTACTATGTTTGACTTTAAAATCTTATTTGCTATTATATTTATTATAATAAGTGATGAAAATGTGAATCAAGTTTTTTCGCAGATACATGTACGCGTAGCGTACCTATTTTTCAAATATCGGTCCAAATTTTAGCCAGCTAAATTGGCACATCAAATTATGATTTTGAAAAATACATTAAGAAAACTAAATCAGAGTTTGCTGCATTTCAACCTACTACCATTAGTAATGTCTGCCATCTTCTAAGTGGGCTTTCTAGCAATAAAGCAACTGGCACTGATAAAATTTCAAGTAAAATTATAAAGACAGCTGCACCTGTCATTTCAGATTCACTAACTTATATTTTTAGTCGTTACTCAGTCCTGTTTTCCAGATGAATGGAAAATGGCTAGAGTTACACCTATCTTTAAAAATGGTCAACGTAATCTACCAGAAAACTACAGACCAATTTCAGTTCTACCTGTCATTAGTAAAATTATGGAAAGAATTCTATATGATCAACTCTATAATTACTTAACAAAATTTGGAATTCTTAGTGACTGTCAATTTGGTTTTCGAAAATCTCATTCCACTACTACAGCATTATTGGACTGTACCAACAAGTGGTATGTTAACTTGGACAGGAAACTATTTAACCTGGTAGTTTTGATTGATTTAAAAAAAGCATTCAACACTGTCGATCATCAAATTCTATTGAGAAAATTGGAGCTCTGCAGAATAAAAGGACAAGCTTTCACTTTACTCAAATCTTATCTAACAAATCGAAACCAAATATGCCAAGTTAAAAATGTTATTTCATCAGATAGAACAATTAGATGTGGGGTACCTCAAGGCTCTATTCTAGGACCACTCTTCTTTTTGTTATATATTAACGATCTGCCTCAATGTCTGAACAAAACAAAGCTTCAACTATTTGCTGACGATACAAATTTAACAGCTGCAGGCCAATCTAACTGAACATGAAAATGCAGTAAATTCTGATTTAGAAGACCTTAGGAAGTGGTTGATAGCCAATAAACTTAGCTTGAACATAGCGAAGACAGAATTTATATTGATTGGCTCACAACCAATGATTAAAGGTACTACAGATCTTCATCTAAACATTAAAATTGACAACAAACCCATTAAACAGATTCAAGAGTGTAAAAGCCTAGGAGTAATAATTGACCAGTATTTATCTTGGAATAGTAACACTGAAAATATTTGCAAAAAAGTAACAGCCGGAATCTCTTATATACCCATATTTCAAATACTGCTGTGAAGTATGGGATGTATTTGGTGAAACACAATCAAAAAGATTGCAAAAACTTCAGAATAGAGCTGCTAGAATCATCACAAAACTTGGCAATGATGTTGATCATTATATTGCCTTAGGTGAGCTAAGCTGCGAACCTCTTAAGGCTGATAGGAAAAAACAAAGGCGAAAATGATGTATAAACTTTTAAATAATATGGGTCCAAATTCACTTACTAATCTGTTTTCGTATAAAAGTGAATTAACAAACTATAACCTCCGGGATATTCCAAGTGGCCTTCACTTACCAAAACCACGTACAAATAATATGAAAAAAAGTTTTATGTACGATGGTGCATTCCTTTGGAATTCAATTCCAAGAGAAATTAGGGGAAGTACGTCCCTTAATTTGTTTAAAAAGAAAATTGCTACCTGCATTGACATTTAAAAAGCGCAATAAAGTATGTGCATGTATATAGACGATTTCCTGTAAATAGCCTAACTACCTTCTTAATTTAGCTCAATGTAAATAAGTAGATTGTGTTCTTGTTAAACGTACTTTTATATAGTTATGTAAAGATATTTTGCACACGTCCCCCGTGGAAATCAGCTTAAGTTGACGGGGTCAACGTGTTTAAATAAAGTTTTTCTATCTTTTTTCTATCTATCTATCTATCTATATAATATAGCTGGAATTTCTTAATTCTTAGCCCACTAAATGTGGCTAGAGGAGGATATGTCTTGTTTTTGTCTTGACTGCTTGCTGACCTGTTGATGTATTACTTTGGTTATTATAATAATAAGAACAGACCATCGCCAATTGCTGAACAGAAGTTATCAACTGACAACAGTCTAAAGCAACATGGTAAGATGAACTACACAGAGCCTGGACCCAATTTGAACTAGTACACTACGATTATCATCGCTTAATCAAAGACGAGCAAGAAATAAAAGAGTCGAAAGTTTACCATGATACAGTTGAAAAATTAGTCTCCGAGCTTACTAAAAAGGCTAATTTCTGGCTCAAGCAGCCAATCATCCAAACAACTCAACCTGAAAAGCAAGTTCAACCGGAAGACTCTGTAAGTACTGTTGGATCACGTTGTTCTTCACGAGCCCGCTCAAAACTAGCTCATTAAGGAGTTCATCAAGCACCAAAGTGAAAGCGGCGGAAGAACAGGCAGCCCTAGAAGCTAAAGCGAGCACTTTACAAAAATTGCACGAGCTTCAATTCGAAGAACTTAAAATACAACAAAGGAAGTCAGAAGTAGAACTCCAAGCAGAGATAGCTGCAGCAGAAGCCAAAAGAAAAATCTAACAGCAAACCAAGATGGAAGAGACTTGTGGCTATCATTCGCATCAATATGTTATTGATGAAAACAAACCCTTGCCTATTCGACCACAGTCTACTATTTCATCACCTCACTGCTTGGATTATGACAAAACAGAGCAGCAGCAAGAATTCAATCAGCAGTCGAGGAAAAACCCTTCTGGTATCCCATCAACAACACTCACAACAGTACCCACGTCCCCAATGCTATCCCATCAACTATGGTACTGTTGAACCCTGCTGCACCCCAGTGGTTTTATAATCAATCATCTTGGCTTCAGTAACCCGTTGGTCAACCTCACTATCAAACGTTCGAATGCCTGATGGAAACTCAGGACCGTCAAAATGTCGCCCTACAAAGGTTGGTACAACAACAGCAACAGAGTGTCATGGCACTTACATTACTGCAACCCACAATAAAGGTCTTCACAGGAGATCCCATTGATTACAGTGATTTCGTCTGAGGGTTTGAACTTCTTGTTGAAGAAAAAACGCTTAATCCAAGTGCTCGTCTGTATTACCTGATCCAATATACGTCAGGACCTGTTCAAGATCTCATGAAAAGTTGCTTGACTATGAAGAACGATGAAGGCCACATCGAAGCAAGAAAACTGTTAAAGGATAGATACAGACAGGGCTATAAAATCGCTGCAGCACATGTGTAAGGACTGACCGAAGGATCACTCATAAGGAACGAGGACGGAGACGCACTCGTGAAGTTTTCTAAACAGCTAACCAGCTGTACCAACACTCTCAAGGAAATTGGATGTCTCAGCAAGTTAGATCACCCTGAAAATCTAAAAAAGATCATTGGTCGACTTCCATTTGGGATGCGACTAAAATGGCGTGATGCTGTTGACCGCATTGTGGAGAACGAAGGAAGAGACGTCACAATCAAGGACGTAACAAGTTTTGTGACCGCAAGGGCTAGAGCAGGTACTCATCCGGTATTTGGAAGGGTCGTTAACGAAGGTAGAGGAAAGCAACGAGAAACCCAAACATCAATCTGGTCTAAGAGCAAGCGGGTTTGCAACGCGAGGAGATTAACCAGTCCACAACAGTCAAGAATCGAACAAACCAACTGATCTAAAGTGTCCCTCGTGCAGTGCTAATCATTGGAAATCTTTGCAACCAGAGGAAGTGCAGCCAAGCCAAAATGGAGGTCCTTTTGTGACAAGAACAGTCTTTGGCTGGGTCCTGAATGGACCGCTCGGTAGAAACAAAGTCCAGACCCCCACAACAGATACAAGATAAATCTTCTCAATGTGAGCAAGAAACGAAAAGCTGGCGAATCGGTTGTGATCAAACCAACAGATTTGATTGTCCCGATCGATGTCAGCAAACTGCAAAATGCTGAAGATGAAATTTTGAAACACGTCCAGAGCCAATGTTTCAAGGAAGAACGAGATTTGCTTGAGAAACCCAACCAGCAAAAGGAAGCAAAGGTGTTGAAAAAATCCATCAAGATTTTCAAGCTCGACCCGATGGTAAAGAAAGGACTTCTGCATGTGGGATGTCATCTACGTCGAGCCCCAATTAACCAAGATGCAAGACATCCTATAATCTTGCCCAAAAAGCACCATCTAGTTACCCTCATTGTCAATCAGTACCACCGTATTTCAGGGCATTCAGGCCTAGAATATACTTTATCTCTAATATGACAAAGATATTGGATAATTAACGCAAGACGTACAGTGAGAAGAACACTCAATATCTGCGTCAGTTGCCGATGACGACCAGCGCCCCACTGCATGAAAAGCCAAGTATTCAGATGTGAATATCAATTTGAATATGATGAATATTCACACGTATTCGCTGCGAATATCCTTGGAATATTAGTAGTATTCAGATGTGAATACCTTAGAATAAAATGCACCTGATATTCTCACCTAGAATACGTTTGAATATTGTGTGAATATTTTCAAGGCATAGTATTCACACTTGCGTACATTATTAAGTGATTTTGTATGGATTTTTGTGTGGATATTAAATAACAAGACATTTTTAATAAATATATGTAGGGATTGTGATTATACAGCTAAGTTTTGCTAAACTGCGCATAGGAGTACTTGCTTTCTGATTCTGCAATTGTCTGGCAGTTATCGAGAATTGAGATTCTTCTTAGTCTAGGACCTGTATATGAGTTTGTATGCATTTCATTTAGGACAGATAATCTCAACTGTTTTAGGGTAAGTTGACCATGACGGTCAACATGGTAACGCTGCCCGAACCCCAATCCGGGGCGAAACGTCCGAAACTGACCACACCCAAAACGACGCTTTCGCCATACTGCTATCTACCAAACCATAAAAGCTTTGGCTATTCTGAGGTGCTTATATGGTTCAGAGATGGTACTTTTGGAGTGGTCATTGGTAAGTGTGAAATGCCTAGCACTAATATTTCACAAGAAAATGACCATGCAATAATCATAGTTAAACGTCAATTTGTGGCTTGCAACTTCAGATAAACAGCAGTGGACTTACATTACCTTTTTCCCTAAATCTTTTTTATAGAAACATAATTGGTACTTATTTAAATATATTATCACTGGTTTGGTGTGAAATAGTTAATATTTTCTGACCGAAATAATAATTTGAAATGTGCCTACCTCCTGCAAATGGACGTATTTGGCCAAGTTCTCCACTTTACTCCGCTGTTTATTGGCGATCTCGTCGACATCCTTCCAAAAATGTAAATCATCTCAGACATAATGGCATCAAGAATATTTTAAACAAGTTTCAACTTGGTTTCAAGTAGATCATAGCTGTTTAACCATCGACAAGGTAAATCCACAACTTCACTGTCCAAATTCGGCGCCATTTTGTCATCCCGTGTCGGTTGTAAACAATTCGGCCTTGTTATTCTTCCATCCAAGCCATTTCCATCAACTAATGACAAATTTAACCCTTTGTTAAGGGTATTCAAATAAAAATACAAATGAAATACGCGAAATGCAGCATTTTATCACCCTGTAAAATGTTGCTTACGAGTCCTTCAAAACATTCCGTACAAATCTCGCGTGACAAAGTAACAGGGAAGTTGATTATTATTTCAGGTTAATTATTTCACGAAGATAGAAGAAGGCTTCGTGAAATAGACTAAATTGATTAAAAGCTAAATACAATCATACAAACGTTTGTTTTATTTGTTGTAGCGACAAATATATACATATTATTATTTATTAATATGAACAAATCATACAAATTAAATGTTGATTGTTGGTTTTACCATACTGTGTGGGCTTTACTTTCATTTTTCAAGTCTCCAGTCCCCTGTTACTAAACCACGCGAGATTTGTACGAAATGTTTTGAAGGACTTGTAAGCAACATTTTACAGGGTGATAAAATGCTGAATTTCGCGTATTTCATTTGTATTTTTATTTGAATACCCTTAACAAAGAGTTAACTTTGTCATTAGCTGATGGAAATGGCTTGGATGGAAGAATAACAAGGCCGAATTGTTTACAAACGATACGGGATGACAAAATGGCGCCGAATTTGGACTAAGTTGTGGATTTACCTTGTCGATGGTTAAACAGCTAAGATCTACTTGAAACCAAGTCGAAACTTGTTTAAAATGTTCTTGATGCCATTATGTGTGAGATGATTTACATTTTTGGAAGGATGTCGACGAGATCGCCAATAAACAGCGGAGTAAAGTGGAGAACTTGGCCAAATACGTCCATTTGCAGGAGGTAGGCACATTTCAAATTATTATTTCGGTCAGAAAATATTAACTATTTTACACCAAACCAGTGATAATGTATTTAAATAAGTACCATTTATGTTTCTATCAAAAAGATTTAGGGGAAAAGGTAATGTAAGTCCACTGCTGTTTATCTGAATTTGCAAGCCACAAATTGACGTTTAACTATGATTATTGCATGGCCATTTTCTTGTGAAATATTAGTGCTAGGCATTTCACACTTCCCAATGACCACCCCCAAAAGTACCATCTCTGAACCATATAAGCACCTCAGAATAGCCAAAGCTTTTATGGTTTGGTAGATAGCAGTATGGCGAAAGCGTCGTTTTTGGGCGTGGTCGGTTTCGGACGTTTCGCCCCGGATTGGGGTTCGGGCAGCGTTACCATGTTGACCGTCATGGTCAACTTACCCTAAAACAGTTGAGATTATCTGTCCTAAATGAAATGCATACAAACTCATATACAGGTCCTAGACTATGTTGGTTTGTTGACTAAACGACTGTTTGTTGACTCGACGACATATTTACTTGAT